GCTCCACAGGTTGATACTCTCTGGGCCTGTATTTTGATTTCAAATAAGAATTGCGCACCAAGTCTCTATCACGCAGAGCAGAAGAGCTTTGTTAAGTCAGTTCCCAATGCTATGCTCTGCAGCGTATCTCTGGGAGAGCTGCCAAGGAGGCAAAAGGAGTGGAGTGCACACACTTCCAAAAGAGGTTGAGAAGGTTAAGGATGTACATTTGACCCAAGAATCCCTTTCCCCCTTCATAAATCCTCTGATAATGTGATGTGTAAGGGGTCACTACCTCAATATCAGCAAGAGCTTTTGGCTGCAATTTTGACTGACCTCAGCAGTATTAAAAGATTAAATTATTATGTAAGTCAATTCTCCTTAACCACTGTTTCCAATGAGATAGGTGTCAAAATAGCTTCTGCTGCACATCATTCATCATCTCATCCCATATTTGATGAAATATAGGTACATATATGTGTTTTCAGGACTTCCCTTGGACCAGTGATGACTGTACACTAGGTATTAACACCGTACATCAGCCAATATTTTCTCATATGGGCATAACCTATCAGTTATTATTTCCATAAGCTCCAACATTACGCACTGTACAACAGTGAAAATGCTAACATGAGAATTTACAGGCTGTAGCCCTCTACTTTACTTGCCTGGAGTCACCTAGAAAGTCTCACTGATTGAAACATAAAGAATGACAGAATTTTCAGCCCTGCAAAACTGATTGTTAAGTGCCTGGCAGTCAATTTTTGGACGTAAGAATCCTATTTTTGCCTAGATTTTTATCTAATTTCTCCAAAGTGGATTGCAGGAACTTATGTCTGGAAAGAATTTTCTGGGCACTCCAGGCAGCACTTGATATAATCCTCATCAAGGGCACTAATGGATTTATTCGTTTGTCAGCGGCGCTACTCCACATGTTCAGTTGGGTGACAGAAGCTCCACGCTGGCTCAGAGGGGAGCTGGGGACTGGTGAGGGCTGCTCAGAGAAGAATCTGGCTGTGTTGTTTTCATCACTTGCAGACTCAGGTCCTGCAACTGGGCAGACTGTTTCGGCTTTTGAATTTCAGCCTTCACTGAAATATTTACCTGAGAATCCTAATGGTGCACCTTCAGCTTCCAAAAACTGAAGGAAAGGCATATAGCTAAACCAGAAATTAAAATAAAAAGAATACAAAATATATTTGAAATAATTCTTCCACTTCTTCTTAACAGAGTATGGGAACAACCATAGATATTAAGCAATTTAGACAAGATAGCTTTAAATCATTCATTTAACATTCCAGAAGATAATCCATCAGGAAAACCAAGATCACTGAGTGGGTGGTCAGTCATACTGGATAACTTTTCAGGATCCAATTTACCCCAGCAAAATAGCTCGCCATCTCGGCATCTCCCTGCCATCCACAGAAAGGTTGGAGAGCAAGTGTTCAACTGGGAGACTCCTCTAGTAAGCAAGATGATAAACTGTTTCAGTCTACACAAAGTAGCATCTGGCCTCAATGCATTTACAAATAATCTGTTTTGACTAGTATATCTTATATGATAGGCTATCATGTCATGTTCTGGCACTAACAAAAGATGTGAACAATATGAAATGTCATGTTAGGCTAAAGATGCAAAAAATGTTGCAGAAATGCAAAAGATGTTGACTTCATCAAAGTGGTGTTTTCTATCAGAAAAATGCTTCAAGAATAAGATTTCTGAATACAGTTGGGCTGCAGGGTGAGGGTGTGTTTCTTTTTAAAATAAAAAGGAGAAGCATTTTGAGAAATGTGGCAGGAATTACTTTGTCCAGATACAGGAGAGACTGACCCAGTCAGTCCAATTTTTAACCTTTAGGCTTTACAGCTTCTGGCTCAAATTCTAACCATCACAAAAAGGTACAAATCTCTCATTTTGGTGCAAATAAAACTTTCACGCATAGTTGCCAATAGCAATGCAACAAGTGTAATGTTTGAAGAGGAACTACTGAATTTAACATTACTGAAACCCGACTAACTTTGAATTTGGTCTGTGTCATTGCTTTATGAGTACTGATCTGCTGTCCTTGGAAAAAAGTGGGTGTCTTTGTATTTACGCTTTGTTCTCTGTAGGCTTAAGGTTGGTGTGGTAGAGGGGCTCCTTAGTTTAGTGATACTATAATCTGATTAGTGCGGATTGCCTCTAGTACTGAATATAAATAATCCAAAATTATTGGGGGAAAGTCTTCATTAATTTCATTTAGGTTTTTTTTTTTTTTTTAATTTGTAAAGTTCTTATTTGATTCATAATTTAAACACGCTTTTTATTCATATCCTTTCTTTTTAGAAATGATTTATAATTCTTGTTTCATAGTGATGTAAACCCTGTGGTGCATTCATGAGAGTATCTCATTGACAGCTGGATTACTGAAAAGTGCTCGGATCCTTCAGAAATGAGAACAGTCAGTTTTAACATGAAGGAACTTTTAAAGCATATCTTGGTGTTTGGGTCTCTATTTTCAATCTGAAAAGATGTTTTGTGTAATAAGAAAAATAACCTGGTTTGAGGCAGGGAAGTATATTTTGGGTGAATTCAAAATGTGCAGGAAGAAGGGAACTTCTTAGTCTGAACTAAATGATGCTTCATTGTGGTCTGTCTTTCAAACAACCGAAATGACAGATCAAACTAAATATATGTTTTTTCCCCCTCTCTGCCTTTATGTTCAATCCCTAACTCTTTTAGAGGAGTTATCAGTCAAAATGAGGGACTACAGACAATTCGTGTCTAAGTTTTGTGGTCTCTTCCAAACCAGATGACAAGTGTTCCCCATATGAAGTGTTTATCCTATGAAAGGCTAGCAAAGCTTGGGCCATCTCATTTTTGATTCAGTAAAGCCTTTTCCATCATAACATTACACTTAGAGGTGTAATTACAAGCTCTGCAGAATCCCAGATTTACTTTAAAGTATGCTAGAGACCTTTTTAAAGAAAACACAGTTTCTACCCACATGATCGCAGGAGGAGGAAAAATCATTCCTTTTTTTACCAGCCCTACAGCCTACACACAGTAAGAGCATCTGCAAGTCTGGGAGAGGTCCTGGTCCCCCTTTCAAGTCCCAACAGATTGGTCTGTCCTGAAAGTAACAATTTCCCTCACCATCTTGAAGCATGCCTTTAAAAAATAGAAACCAAATGGTATCCTACCGTTTTACCAACACTGCTGGCTCATCTGAGAGAGGAGGGATTCTCACGCTGGTTGGTGGTGGCACACGGACATCGCAGAGATATCTTGGTACCTGAGAAGGAGGGATCAGAGATACACAAACACACACAGAGCAGTCTCCTGTTCTTCAGCAAGGAAGCAAACTTCCTCTTGATAATGGAAGATTTGAAGGAAATGGCATAATATTTTCCACAAGAGAAAAAATGTGTATTAATAAGGATCCCCTATTTCTTGCTGCAGTTTCCTGGACAGAAGTGTATTTGAATGTGGACCATGGCAGAGGTCCAGCACACACAGAAACCATCAGGCATGGTGTGTAGATGATCACTACATGGGTATAGAGTCCAGCAGGTCCTGAGCACATCAGGATCTATGTGTGTGCACTGGGCAAATCCATTGATAGCTGACACACATCACACACATTTTTTCTGTTCTGGGAAGATTTCCAGGTGGAAAAAGGAACATACATGAAGAGCTAGTGGACTGATAACTCTGTGTAGCTATGCAGTAATGGTCCATAGTGCAGATGTCCTGAAAGCCCCAGCGATGAAAGAAAAGTTAATGCTGTGTACAGGGATGTAGAGGTTGCCCTGTCATTCTCGTTTGCTGGGAGTTTGTCCTTGCCTGTTTTAACATAAGGACAATATACCCAGCTTTATTAGTGCAAGTTGTTAGAGACTCTTAAAACTCTCCTTGGACAGCAGTGACAGGAGAGAAATTCATTATGAAAATCTGAATCTTGGATCTACCACACACACTTTTCCCAAAGGTGGGATAACACCTAAGCATACCTACTGCTGGCACGGCTGGCTTGGAGGCAGAACACAAATTGCAATTATTTCATAACGCTCGGGGACTTCGTTTGGAAGATACAAATGCTTCAACTTGTTTGTGTGCAAACTACACTTCCTCAGACATCTATCATGAGATTTTTTTTCTTCTGTTTTTAATTAATTGTGGTTAGATGATACTATCACAGAAGAAAGGATTTTTACCATTTGAGATACCATAAGTATCGATTAAATGGAAGAATTTGCCAAAATTACCCAGATTAATGAACACCTCAGTGACCTACAAAATTCATGTGAGTTTATTGCAAGTAACACTCTGCATTTCAGCCCATTATATAAATGTTGAGCACATACCTGTTTCAAAACTAAATGAAGCCTCCGTTTTCCTAGCTACATGGAGGGAAATATTTTCCAGGATTTGCAGTCTCAATGACTATTTAACAGCTGCAGAAGTAGGCACAAAAAGTCAAACTAGTTTAAAGGTACCCATGCCGTGGGACGGGGAGGAGGCCAGTGGGCTCTGGGGCACAGGTGTGCAGCACTGATGATAAACTTCAACTCTGAACTCGTGCTCCTCTACTTCAGCCATAAAATTATCTTTCTGAATATGTCATATTGAATGACCAAATATATTGTAATGGCATATTATATCCAAATGTCCAGAGTCTTCCTCCTAGCCTTGCCTGGGTGTGAGGAGACAGTCCATAGAGGATAACAGAAATGATCAGGCATTTTTCATGTGCTATGCTGTAGTTAGTTTTTGAATAGTCAAATTAATTTTTATGGTGTCTCATTTGCTATAGCTTTACGGGGATTAGATATGCAAAAGAGTGACAGAAAACCTTGCAAAGGTTTACATCTACATCGGCCTTCCTCTTTCAAGGTGCAAAACCCTTCCTCTTGCTTCCCATGAACATCTTTCACATTTTGTTCTTCTGATTTTTCCTTTCTTTTATACGTTGAGTTCCTTCCATCATTTCACCTTAAGATGCATTATCAGATTAACGTTGCCTTTGCCTGTGTTCACAGAGAATGCAAATAAACTGGAAGAAAGCGCGAGAGGGATCTACATCCCTTGTCCAGAGCATTACAATGGCTTCTGCATGCATGGCAAGTGTGAGCACTCCACTAACATGCTGGAACCTTCTTGCAGGTAACCCTTCTCTTACTAAGGACACGTGAAAATATTGACTTACAAAAACACTTAATCTAGATAAACTGAAAATAATGGTAACCATGGCCCTTTGTGCTACAAAACCCATTAGACTTAAATTATTCAACAAAGTCCCCATTTTATGTGGCAAAAGTGTATTGAGTTACGCACAATGTTAACTGATTGTAAAAACATTCAGTAACCTTCAGTTATATTTAGATATATTTTAAAAAGCACTTCACAAAGTGCTCAGAGAGCCACGAGGTAGCCTGCTCAGTGTGAAGGAGAGGAGTGCCACCAGGGCTACGTCCCCGCTGTGGCAGAAGCGATGCTCGTGGGGCAGCAAGCTGGGGCAAAGGTGGCTCCTTCGTGCAGGAGGTGGCTTTGGAGGATGTTAGGGCAGAGACGAGGAGTAATAGTGAAAGCACGTGTTTCTGCAGCAAATGCCTCCCTGCGGAGGTGGGGATATTACTTCTGAAGTTCAACCCGTGGCCTGGTGGCAAAGAAAAGGACTATTATGCATGAAGCACCATTTTCCTGGGACATTGGACTGGGAGAGCAAAGATACGGACCAGACTTAGCCCCCAGGGCAGATCCTCAAGCCAACTTCTCCCTGCTCCCACAAACAGCCAGGGCACGTTTTGCTCTTTGCAGCTGCAGTTTAGGTTCCACCTTCAGCTGGAAAATGTCCTTTCCTCAAGCTGCTGGCTGCTGTGGAAATCCAGGAGAGGTAAAGGGTGGAAGCTCAAGGCTTAACCCATCGGGGTTAGTACGCCACTAACACTTCTGAGAGGAGCCCAAGCAATCTGGCTCGGTCTCTTATGGTTGCTGCTGCCATTGACCTGGATTTTTGCATCTTCTTGCTTGGGCTTTTTAGGGGAAACAGGGCAAGAGCTAAAATGGGAAAACCACTGTTTGTTCCCCAAAATCACAGAGGGGAGATATCAGGCTGCAGGATGGAAACTGGTGAGCAGCACAGCAGGCGGCATTGGGGTGGATGGTTGCAGCATCAACAGAGGGTTTTTTTATAGCAACCAGACAAAATGTAAATGATGTATCCGCTTGCAGGAACATCTAATCACATTTCACATGGAGCTTGGATGATTGCTTATCACCTCCTTAGGGGTAATCTGCATAAGGAGCCACAACTAGATGGCTTTTCACCCTCCCCCACCTCTGCAAAGAAAGGGAGAAATCTAAAATATGTTGTGCAAGGAACTAAATGGATTCTCATCACAACATGGAAGTAGTTCCAAATGATGCTGGATAAGTCCCAGTCCCCTGGGCACCTCCTGACACTATCACGGTGTTGTTCACTCTCGCAGACCTTGGTGATGCTAAGGACCTGACGTCTTCCCTCTGAGAGGTCGAGAGGCACTGGTGCTCTCTCTGGGTGGCCCTTCTTGTGAAAAAACACATAAGCTTATGCTTAGGCCACCGATTTTTTTTCAGATATAATTATTTTCAGCATCCTTTGAAAGCAGCAGATATAACTGGAAAAAATAATTTTTGTTTCAGATGTGATGCCGGCTATACTGGACAACACTGTGAAAAAAAGGACTACAGCGTCTTATATGTGGTTCCGGGTCCAGTACGATTTCAGTATGTCTTAATAGCAGCTGTGATTGGAACCATCCAGATTGCTATCATCTGTGTTGTAGTCCTCTGTATTACAAGGTCAGTATCTCTGGTACTTTGCAATAGAAAAAGAAAAGACTTTTGGTTTTCCTACTTTATGCGCTGATTATACAGATTTCTGCAATGACGCTACTGATAACAAATGCTGTCTAATTCACCGACAAACAGAAGATATTGTCTGGTCCAGCCAGCCACTGCTGCTTCATTATTATGACTGAATTTTTACTTCCATCTTAATCAAACTTAGGTAGCAACGGTGCCTACAGCAAATGAAATTTCCTATTTTGTATTCAGATGGTTGGACAAATATTGTTCATATAAATAAGGCAAATATAAATACAGCAGCTGGATCAACACTTAATAAAACTAATCATAACTCCATCTGGTTTCCTCAAGGGCCCATTCCCTTAGTCCTAATCAGGCAAAGCATACAAACTTTTAAGCCTGTTTGCAGTCCCGTTGATTAAATGATTTCATTAGGCTTGTATACACGTTCAAAGGTACCGCACATGTTTAAGGTCTTCACTAGATGGTGGCACACCAAGCCATATATGATTTCTTTATTTGTTCTTTAATGAGGAGAAAAGGATTGTTTGAATGGAAACGATAGCCCCAGGGTAGTTCAGAACAAGAGGGATAAGTGCAATCCTTCCTCTGCTACACATGCCGCTGTACTTCCCCACTGAACTGTCTTGCTGTCTCTGGGAGGGCTTGGGGTAAGTTCTGAACTTCAGATGTCTTCATCTGAAATCCTCAGAAATCACGAGGTTAAATTAATTCAGCTAGCAACACTGATAAATCACTCTTTTAGAAATAAATCACTTTCTAAAAGACAAAAAAAAAAAAATAAAAGCCAGGTATCATACCGCTGTAGAAAATAAAATTTCTAATATATTTCAATCCCTATGTGGCATAACCTGGCTGGAAGACAAGTAGCATTTGTTCCTGGAAAAGACACAAACACCCCTCCACACACATAAATCCTTCTCTGGCCTAAAGGCATAAACCAAAACCATCTGATGAGAGGTAGCTGCTTTTTTGGCCAAGCTGAGTCCATCAACTCAACGGTAAATGCCGAATGAGGCAGTAGATTATGGTGGTATTCACAGAAGTAATTCAAACAACCGAAAATGTAGTGTGTAGTAGGAAAAAGAAGATGGTGTCGTAACTGATAATGGAACAAATGCTCTGTATCATTTTGTCAAGTGACTCTATAGTTTTGTCACCTTGACACAGTAACGCAGGGTACTTTATACTGAAGAATGAAGACAGTGTGCTCAGAGTGATCTGGTGCTGTAATGCAAATTACCCGTCACACTTTTCATACATAGATGGTACCTTTTCCCACACACTTTGTAACCAAGTTAATCTATGATCTTTTGACTTTTTTCTGTCATGCATGTAATTACTGCAGCGCATCCTCCATCCCAGCATAATGATTCAAGATACATCTGCAAAAGTGTGCTCTTAAGTGGCCTAAGAGAAATCCACATGACAAGAGAGAATTGTAGCAGCCTATGCATAAGTAATTGAGTTTTTGAAGTCATCTGCTTTGGAGAACCTGACTGTACTGGTCTGAACTCCACACCCTGAACTCTTGAAAGTGCTAAAACCACCCTGCCAGGTTCCTGAGAGAAAGAAGGGAAACTTCACTCACTCAGAGGCCGCTGTGGCCAAATTCTTCACCACTTATTTCAGTGCGGCTTCACCTAATTAATTTATCAAATTAGTTCAGTGCACTGTGTCCAAACCGTGCATTTGAGACACATCAGACTACTGTTATGAATCTTTTAGCTGTTGTTACTGTTGTTGCTCTTAAAATCCTATCAGTACAGTGGTGCAAATCTACGGGGTGTCCTCCATTGCCGGAAGGCTCTGAGTAATTCCCGGGCACTTTTAGGGCCATTGTTGCACAAACACTTTAATTGGAATAAATGAGCTGTGCTGCTGACAGGGGTGGTCTGCCCTCGCTCCTTCCCTTGGCTCCTGGGCACTTGGTCCTGCCGGTGCTCTTGTGCCACCATTAGTGTTTCTGTCGCCACACAACACACCCGCTCAGGGGACAGATTCAGCTGAAAATTCAACCAACAAAACTGATGATTTGTTTTTAAGCGGCTCAATTCCTTGATGAGGTTGGCCGCCTGGCTACTCATCGCTAGTGCCAGCAGTGGGAATAAGGGGCTGGCGTGGAGGAGTAGGGGACCAGAGGCCAAGAGGTACGGAGGGAAGGAGGTGGAGCAGTGAGGCGCAGTCCCTATGCCCAAGGACTTTTACCTTAGAGGTAAGGCAAAAGAGAAGCAATGATAAAAGTGAAGGAAGATGGTAAATAATATAGGTATGGCCTAGTGTCATAATGATTCTCAGCAGTTTTCTTTACAGCTTTGTGTTTTTAGTGCTTCCCTAATGTTTAGTCACAGCAGCTTATTTATGTGAAGAAATAACTTGATTAAAAATGAATGCATAGTGTGTTTTACCTGCTATGAATCACATTGTGAGTAACTCAGGCTTGTGAGGAAGCTTCAGTGGAGGGAGGGCAGGCAGCCTGTGCTCCAGTACCTAGTTTACATTGATATAACTGCTGTGTTCATAAATGAATGCATCCCACACACAGAGCACTACAAAGAACTTTTGATTACAGAGTTAAGGACCAAGGAAAAGCTGTCACTCAATTTTAGCAGATGATTAAGTCTAAAAAGCTGGTTAAATGCCAACGCCCCTCTTAGGAAACCCAGATGCACTTCAGACACAACCTACCTGTAAATGCAATAGCATTGCATTTAAGCAGTCATGGTGTCAGTACTTGGCCCTGGGGCCTTCCCGGGCTTCCATCAATTGGTAGCATAGTGTATTATGCAATTAAAACATGGGCATCTTTTGTTAAAAGATGCTTTTTCATCATCTTAATTGGAGTAATCCCTACATTTGAATCGATTTCTCATGACCTTGGACTAAGTTACTGTATAGATACTGTCAGTGCTGGTTTTGGGAAAGCGCCTGTGAGATGCTCATCTCCTTGCTTCCAGCCGGAGCAGTCGGTATCCACCGTTCTCTGGGAATGCACAGCTGCATCCCCTGGGATTGCTGACTGTCTGGTCATCCCCCAGCCACCTGGTACCTCCACGTTTCTTACAAAACCAGCCTGGTCCTGCCCACTGTGGCTTCCCACTCCCGGTTCCCCAACCCTGCTGCTTCGCACGGCTGAGCGCTGGGGCAAAGCAAGGCTGTGCCTCGTTGGTCTAAATCCTCATCCTCTGGGACTCGGGGGGAACCCCTGGTCACTTGGTCTTACGGTGTGGCTGCTGGACGCCGCAGCAGGGTTTAGCAGTGCTGTCTGTCAGCGTGTCGAGGTGCCGGTGCTGTCTCCTGTGGAGCGCTGCGAGGTCCTGCTGTGCAATCTCCGGCTGAATGGGCAGGAGAGGCCGCTTGGGGACAGTCGGGGCTGGGAGGCTGTCAGCGTGCACATGACACGCGGCTCAGTGAATCAGCCCTGTGTTTGCTAACAACGGCTCCCTGACTCACTCAGAAAGTTTGATCGCCTTTTTAGGAACACGCAGTGAATAATGAGTTTGTCATGAAATCACAAACCAGCTAAAGTCTGTGTTAGTTTCATAATGAAAGCTTTGCCGTGACCTCCGCGAGCACTGGAGATGCAGGCTTATTTTTCCTGGAGTAATGATAGCAGCCTACTTTACTGCTTCCGAGAAAGGAACGAGGCAAAATATAGTGCACAGCCATACAGTTTCTCATGAGGGGGTGGTCCCGTTGGCTTAAAAGTGAGGCAAGTCAGGACAATCTGACCTGTATTTTGTTAGATACTTCTATAATTGCATTTCAGCATTTTGAAATGCTTCTAAGTCCTTATGCTCTTGTTTAGCCTTTCAGTTGGCGTCACAAAAACTGTAGCATCACTTCCATTCAACAAGGGGGGAAAAAAAACGGTCTTTTTGATATTAAGGGATCAGTAAAAATTTATTTCACTCTGTTTTGCCGTTAGTTATTTGACACAGAGCTGAAGGCAAGTGCTTTGAGCTGTCACTGCACTGAGGGGGTGGGCTCTCCCCAGTGCATAACCCATCGCGTTTCACAAGGTGCCACTGAAAGCCTTCCTGTAACAGAAAAGCAAGTTAGCCCAATACAAAGGGAATTGTTTTCCGTGCCAGTATGGTCTGGGGTGTGGTGGGACCTTCTGTCATGCCACTCCAAGAGGGTGTTTCAGTCTTTCTTGTGTGGCTGCCCACGCAGCGGGCAGAATGAGGCGCACCCAGGCTAAAAACTCATACTGAGCTTCAGCTGAAGAACGAGGCCAAAGGCATGGCCGAATTAGGAATCACTTGCTCCTCCTCCTGTGCAAAATGTTAACTAGATCACCCTGGATAAAGGACTGTTTTTATTGCTGGTTGTTTTTCTGTATCTCACCATTTTCCTACTGGTACCACACATAAAAAAGTGTGAGCATTTTTAGTAGGTGTTGGTCACCCTGCTGTGATTCTGCTTGCCCGACAGTTTCTGCCGTAACCCCCTTGGCTTTCAGCTGCTTAGAACTTCCTGGGGCCTCCACCTGGGGCTAAACTTCTCCATGCTTTCTGTCTAAGGTGCCTTTCCATGGGAGGGAACCAGAAACACACTGTTATCTTTCCATTAGGGGGAAACGCTTTGTAGCATTCCCCATAGCTGACGCTGCTGCAGGTAAAAGATTGAAATGTGCCTGTGCTGAGGAGCACTGCGAGGTCCTGAGGCAGGAGAGATTTGCTTTTGCAGCCATCCAAAGGAAAATAAGATTTTGGTCTTTCCAGTGCAGTTGCTTTCCGCACTAAACCAAGCAGCCGTGTGAGGGGTGTAGCGCGGTGCAGGCACCCGTAAGTAAAGTAGCTGCTTGGTAATGAGCTGAGCATGGAGCATTTCCATGGAGACTAATAGGGATTGCAGACGCTTAGCTCCTCGGAAAGGCAGCCCCCGCATCCACTTTGTAAATACTTCACAGACCTGGGACACCGAGCAGGTGAGTGTGAGGCTGTCCTAAACCTTCCACCTGCGCCTCGCTGAAAATAAATCCATTATTTAAAGATGCGAGATGCGGTGCAGTTGGGGCTGTGGCAACACAGCAGAGTGGCCGCTGCTCACCAGTAAGGAGCAGGAATCTTAAAGTTTCCCGTGCTGTATTTTTGTTTACAATATGGGTTGGGGGGGTTGTGGTACCGTTGCCAGTAGCCAGCCCATTTCATTTCATTGAAGACGAAATGCGCTGAGGGCCAGAGGATGCCTCTCTCGCCCTCACGTCCCCTGCTGCCCGTGACACCTTTCGAGCAGATGTGTTGTTAAGAGCCGTGTATTCTCACAACTCTCTTTTCCAGGAAATGTCCCAGGAGCAACAGAATCCACAGACAGAAGCAAAACACAGGGCACTACAGTTCAGACAACACAACAAGAGCATCGACAAGGTTAATTTAAAGAGCGCATGTTTCCACAATGGCAAAAATAACTGCAGAGAGCTTGGACTACAAAATACAGTATTATAGACAAAAGATTAAGACAAGATCTACACATGTTGCCTTGCATTTGTGGTAATCTACACCAATGAGAACATGTACTACAGCTATATTTGATTATGTATGGATATATTTGAAATAGTATACATTGTCTTGATGTTTTTCTGTAATGTAAATAAACTATTTATATCACACAATATAGTTTTTTCTTTTTCATGTATTTGTTATATATAATAAATACTCAGTGATGAGAAAAAAATTGCCTTTCTTAAATTTGCTGTATCTCATAGCTGTGTATAGTCTTGGGATATTGTATATGGACACTAACAAATCTCTTCTTTTTTTTTTTTCTTTTTCCAGTTCTAGTGGCAATTTTGAGTCTACTGAACTCAGTAGTAGGGTTTTGAGTTGGTCCAAGATCAGCGACAATTATGGATGTGGGAAAGGTGAAGAATAATTTAACCTACATTGAGGAGGGATAAAATATTTCAGATCCGGAGTCAACTACATTTCATCAGCCGCCTTCTCCCATACCATCTATCTTTACTCTCCCATAGCTTAGGAAGTCTTTGCCTTCTAAATTAAATCCTAACCGAAGGAGAAATGGAAATTCTCGGTAACCGCAATGAGAGTGTCGGGGGTAATGTTTCGATCTGGGAGGGAATTAGGTGTCTGTCAAGGTGAACCCCACGAGAATGCTTTGCAGAATCTCCAACTCTGGTCACTGGAGTGAGTGAAAATTGCTTCTTGCCGTTGATTGAAAATTATTAGGTTAAAAAAGTTAATAACATAATAACAGCTGAAATGCCAGCACCATTTGTACCTCGTGAACATGCTGATATAATTTATTTTTTCAAAGAGAAGGTGAAAACCACTCAGAAAATACCTTATGAATACCTTTATGGGTGACCCTACTCCATTAAATGTAATGAACTCAAACGTTGGCTATACCTCAGGAAAATAAGGGCATGTGTTTTGACACATCCACATGATGGACAAGATGCAAAGTTATTTCGATGGTAGCTGAAACTCTCTAAAACACATTCTTTCGAGAAGGTAATATTACTCTAGTTTGTGCTATGAATTTTGAAGACGACAGAGTGAGACTGAAGGGCAGAGTGCGGTAACTTCACTCCTGCCAGATAACACCCACTCCACTAATTGACTACCAGAGTACTAGTCACACTAAGTAACATAACTAAAAAAACCCTTGTAACAGTATTCTTTTTGCTGCTCCTTTCCAAAGAGACGTTGCCTAGGCAGAAAGTACCCATGACAAGAGTTAGGAGTATTTCTGGCTGTCATCACTACGTAAGAAATTGCAGCTGGGTCAGAGTCAGACCTGGGGTTACCTGGGATGTTGTCATGAGTGTGTTTCCATTTCCTGCGTCAGCATCGGCCTGATCACTCACAACAGTCACCACCAACCCCACCAGTGACAGTCCACCCGATCTGGCCTTCAGACACGGGTGAGGTGATACTTCTACTCTAACACGGCTTTTAGTCTTCCCACCCTAGCCTGCTTTAAAGTGAATCCATTGCATGATGTTCACACGGTCTCAGTTTTTGTCTTGTTCTGGGTTTCTTGGCTTTTTAAAGGTAATAAAAGGCGATTGGCAAGAGATGCTTCCAGGCACCTGGTCTGTGCTGATTGATGGGAGTGGGAGTGCGGTGGTTTTGCAGGCAGCGGGGCAGATGACGGCATGTGGCAGCTCTCCGGCGCTGGGCTGCAGGCCCTGCAGGGACCATCTGCTTCCCAGAGCCACGGGCTGGGGTGAGGCAGAGGGAGAAGGGGGCTGCACAGCCACTCCCCGCTCCTCAGCCCGCGCCCCCAGCTCTCCGATCGTCAAGGCTTCTTCTCAGACTAGAAGAGTGATGGTGCGGGTTAGGAGTGTGCAGCAGAGAGGCAGCGAGTGGGTGTGATCCTGGCCCGCTGGACCACAGGGACGTTTCCAGGCTTACCCACTGTAAAATACTCTTTGTCCCAGTCTTTGCTGGTTTTGTATCCCACGCACACACTCAGCAGGGGTGGTACAGCGTGGAGGGGAACCCAGGCACGGCCACACTGGGCTGTACAGGTTTGGTGGCACAAGATCCCTTCTGGAGACGCCTTGCAAGCTCTTAATTAAACTGATACCGAAGTGGCATAATAATGCCCCTCTTCGGATCCCTCCGTCAGCTAAACCTGATGCAGCGATGGCAATGAGTGCTTCCGAGGAGCACTTCAGCGTGAGGTTGAGGATTAGGTTGGAGGTGGCAAACGTAGCTCTACCCTGCACATCCCCTCTGCGCTTTGTCCTTTCTGAGTGAGGTGTTGGATAACAAGCGTCAAAACCGCAGATTTTGAGCCAAATCCAAATGTCAGTCCCCCCACTGGGACTATCAAGTGTGGATTGTTTATTTCAGTCACTTACATTAGATACAAAAAAATCAAATGTTAACACATACACACTTCCATGTAGCTATAGCAATAAACCTAATTTTTAAAAAAGGCAAGGTTTGGCCTGGCCTAAAATAGCATAGCATCACTTAGAAGTGAAAATAGAAGTCCAACACACTATCGCTAAACTTCCCCAAGTTATTTGCATTGCTTTTACCATGCAACACCACATTTAATCCCTGACCAGCCTGCGTTTGCGAGGTGTTATTAGCTGCATTCCCAGCTGCAGTGTCTGTCACAAAGCTCTCACACCTCCGAAAACAAAGCCAGTTTTTAAGTACCTGCTGCAGACCGGAGGGCAGAGAGGGGAAAGCGATTTTGGTTTTAATGCACAGAGGGCAGGTCCCAGCAAACATTAGACCTCTTTGGGATTTTCAAACTTAACCTTCACCATGCTGGTATGGGCCCCACAGTGAAAATAATACTGTCTTTTGGGGTTGTATGTACAGGAACAGAGATTTCTACAGAATACATTTGCAGAACTTGTACAAAACGCAGCAGCAAATTTGGAGATGTGAATTGGGGTTGCTTTTTCCTTTTCTGAAGGGACTGGAAAGTGCATTTGTTAGAGCCATATGCTGGCCAGAACTCGAGATGTGAAAAATCTTTGTGAAGTTTAACTTCACAAAATGAAGGGAGGTGGGCTGGGCACCTAAGGACGTGGCCAGGTGAAGCCATGGCCATGGGGGATAGTGCCAGGCACAGAGGCAGAACCCAGCTCCTCCACCCGGAGCCACGTGGAGGGGTGCTGATGTGTTGCCCTTTGTCCGCTTCTCACTGCACGCTTACACCAGTGAGAGAAAGGCCC